AACAAAGTCCGGTCTATCATCAAAATATGGAATGTTAGCAGCCATAAACTATATAAAAAAATAAGAGAAAAATAAATTAAAAATGGAAACAAGGTGAACTCAAAAAGAAACAAATTAATCTAACATCAGTCCCCGGCAGCGGCGCCAAAAATTGACAGGTTGTCGAAACCTGTGCAATAATAAAACCTAAAAATTGACAGGTTGTCGAAACCTGTGCAATAATAAAACCTGCTCAAACTAAAAGTAATTTCTGTAGATAGTGGTGAGCAGGGTCGAATCCACAGGGACTGGGGATAATTCGTTTCTTCTAGAGTCCAAAGTATGGGGGGTTTTGGATTAAATGCTAACTAAATAAATTAACTGCAGAAAATAATTAATTAAAAGAAATAATTAGAGAAACTCTAGCCAAGGATACACTTCAGAAATGGTTCATGCACTGATCATTGATGCAGGAATAATTCCAACATTTATTAACAAATTAGTTATAGTTGTCATGCACGCGATAAACAACCAACCCTTCCTTAATTTATTGATAGCTAAGGTACGACCGTTAGCTATTTCCCTAACCCAAAAACAACCCCAGGTACGACCGTAGGATTTAATTTCTAGGTTGCATTAATAATTAGAAAGGCCCAATCCTGACTAACAAACACGCTACGAGGGTTTATTTAAGCCAGATCAAATATTCCCCTGACACAATTCCAATTATGCCAGTTGCTACTGGGATAGAGATAACGAACAATTACGGATTCAATTACCCCTATATAGCAAAATAGCCTGTATGAATAATTAATTATTGCGCACTAATCAATCATCCACACGCACTATAACGGTTAAAAGCAGGAAACATATGAATACCAATAAATGAAGGAGGCAATTAAAATAAATTAGATCTCACAGTAATTATTGAACCAAATCTTCAGTTGTCCCCTTGACTAGAAACACTTAACCACGCCTCATGAGAAACTCTCCCCGTTGGGGCATATTGTCGAACACCTGGCGTGTGTCAGAGGCCAGTCCGGAGAAAGCAAAACTAAAACTAAACTAAAAGACTACTAAAAACTAGAGATGTCCCCGCTACTCTACGTTATCCCTATTTAAGCAAAAAGAGGAAGATGACTAAAGGCTATCTAGGTGGTCCCCACACATGTGGACAAAGCCCTCCAAGTACTTCTTGTTCCAAGTCTCTTTCCCGTAGCTTTCTTTTAAAAGCCCAAATGACTAGATGCTTTCCACTAGCTTGTGGTCCCCCACCAATTCAAGGGCCCAAGAATTGAAACCCTTAGAAGTCTCCCTAATTTCCATAAAGTCCTTCCTTTTTTTATGGTTTTCTGCTTCATTCCTGAAATTAAGTCCAGATACCAAATATGAGTAAATATTAATAATTAAGCAATATTTGGCAAGGATAAAAAGGGAGATTAATAATAAAATAACTAACAATTAACACCCTATCAGTTTTAAAGTAAAATAGTGCATGCGTCCCATAAATCAATAAATCTTGATTATTAATCAAATTTGCCATGTTATTAGTAATAATTACTATTTATGTATAAAAACTTACTATTACTTGAATTAAACTTACTAAGGTATATTATGAGTGCTTACTAACTAAGGTACTAAGTTTTAATCATTAATAAAAACATCTTATCATTATTTCAAATAAACTTCCTAATACTACTTTGAGATAAGGTTTTAATGTAAAAATTGTACATGCATTCCAAAAAATGGTAAATTTTGATCCTTAATCATTTTTATTGCCATGTTATTAGTAAGAATTACTATTTATGTATCTTACTATTATTTGAACTAAACTTACTCTTTTAAAAGTAAGTTTGGGATATCAAGTAGTAATCTATTTATTTAAAATTTAAGTTTAATATTTATTCCAATTTACCTTTGAGGTATAAAAGTTACTAATCTATTACACTTAACTTACTATTTTAGATAGGAAACTTACTTCCATAATTTTAGGTGTTATTTTATTTAGGTGAATAGGTCCAACAATAAATCAAATGATCGTTAAAAGTACAACAATATGTTATATCAGGTAAAAACTATTTCGCTATCATAACTATCGTTTAGTATCTATATCTATATGTATTGCTGATGGGGTTTTGGATAAGGAGCTTCCAAAATTATCAAAAGTCTGAATGCTATTTTAATAGAATTTTACATTTTTATAATTAAAAAATATTTATCTCTTAACTAATCATGTAACCGGCCCTACAAATCCTATAATCATACTTATATTTTTTCCACATTTCCCTCATGTTTTTTCCACTATCCCATAAAATTCAAACTCCTAAACTTTAACTAACGGATAATAACCACCCCTGTAAAATGATATCTGCAAATTCCAATTCACATCTCACATTTATTACTGACACTTATCATATCACTTAGAGTAATAACTAACCGTTAATTTAAGAAATTCGTAACTACGAAAGTCAAATATCCAAAATTTAGGAGTATGTTTAAATTACAATTTTCACAATTCAACGTATCTTATTGTCATAATATATTTTACTCTCACAATCATTCACAAATTATAAAGTCATTAAAAATAAATAATTTTTTTAATAAAAATTAATTCAAAGGTAGTTAATTCACACACACACACACATATACATATATATATATATATATTCTCATAATGCACATATATATAAGATTATCAAATCGAATGCATAATATTGGTAAGTATTTCATTTTAAAATAAAAAACATGCAATTACATTTATTTCTATCCATATATCATTCATTTTATAATATAAATTATTATTATTATTTTAAGATCCATCTTTTGCAAAAACACAATTCTTGAATGATTTACAGTTTTTTTTCATATTTTGAACTATTGTTAGATAAATCTTAAATTTTAATTATGTTGGTATAATTTTTTTAACTTTTTTCAAATTAAAATGGTATAATCTTTTGATTAATTTTAATAATGTAAGCACCGTGTGTAGTACGGATATTCACACTAGCTGTCCTTGTATGACCGAGCCTGAGAGTTTGAGCATGTTTTGGTTGAATGTTATAATTCAAAATTTGGGGTTTGGAGGGAATAGCTTATATCCATTGTAATCAAAACTCAAACAAATGTAGGGATAAACCTGATTGTCACAACAAACTATACAAATGTGGGGATAAATCTTAGTTAGTAAGTACTCATAATATACCTGTATAATAAATGATTATAGGTATAATTTAATATTTTTGTATTTATATATTTTAAAATACTATGAAAAGTAACCTTGTAAAATCTATAATAAAATTTTGTCTTATCATAAGTTTGTATTTATTTTCAATTTTTGAAAAGTTTGAAAGTTTGGATAACAATAACAACAAATCTTCCTAGTTACACGTAGAATATCACTTGTTTCTATATCACAATTTTTATAATTTAACATCTATGAATAAAATAAAATAAAATTATTATTTTATAATACGATAAAATTTTATTATTTTCGAAGGTTATGTGAAAGGTCAAAATATTTTTCACAGAATATTTTAAAATATATAAGTACAAAAGAATATTAAATTATACATATAATCATGCATTATACAAGTATGTTACGAGTACTTACTAACTAATGTACTAAGTTTTAATCATTTATAAAATATTTTATTGTTATTTCAAATAAGCTTTCTAGTATTAATTTGGTATAAGTCATAAAGGATTGAGTGATTTGAGTCAGTTGCTTCTGTGTTAATTTTGACTGTAGTTAACGAATTCAATGATTTAGTCCGTCTACCTTAGGTTAGTGGGAAAATGGGTCACAGTTGGCTGGAATAAAATTGTAATAAACCCGTTTTCTAATAAAAAATCAATTCTTTATCGCTTTCCTCCATTATAAGAACAAAGTACCCCTTTTCCTAAAAAAAAATTATTTATCGGATAAAATAAAAATAAACCTGTTTTTCAATAAAATTCTAACTCTTTATGCCTTTCCTCTATTATAAGAATTGTGCACCCATTTTGCCATAAACAAATTTATTTATCAAATAAAAAAAATTATTTATCGAAAAAATAAAAATAAACCCGTTTCTCAATTAAAAAATAAGCTCTTTATGGCTTTCTTCCCTTATAAGAAAAGAGTATTCATTTTGCCATAAACAAATTTGTTTATCAAATAAAATAAAAATAAACTCTTTTTTCAATAAAAAAAACTAGTTCTTTATGACTTTCCTCCATCATAAGAATATAGTACCCATTTTTCTAAAAAAATATTATTTATCGAATAAAATAAAAATGAACCCGTTTTTTCAATAAAACACCAACTCTTTATGAAATAATTTAAAAAATCACGTAATTCTTTCACATCCTTTCTAAAAAAACTCTGGAGATACACTTAAAATTATATTAAAATTGTACAAGTACTATAGGAATTTAAGGGGGGCCCCACTATCCCCACCTTAAATCCACCTCTGTAATGCCAAAAGAAGTGCGGGAAAGCTTCCCTCCAAATACTGATTCTTGCCAAAAGAAGTGCGGGAAAGCTTCCCTCCAACTCTACTGAATAATATAAGTACAGTCCAAGCCTCCAAATTTGTCTGAAACCCGTTGCTGATTTTTCCTCCTCTCAAAACTCCTCCAACCACCAAACTTTATTGTCCTTTTTCCCCTTCTTGATTCTTCCATCTCCAACGGAATCAAGCTTCATAATAAGAGGGGCTTTGTCTTAAAATCATACATTTTTTTGATTAGCTATTTAGCACGCCAGTTGACGGAGTAAGCGGAGGCAGTGGAGGACTCGATGACGACGTCCTCGTCGTCGTCGTCTGAGCCTGGACCTTCAACGTTCCCTCCTCATTAGTTATAGCCAAAGTTTGGGTTTGGGACCGCGCGCTCTCTTGCGCCAAGGCATCACAAAACGCCCGATGCGTGATAAAGCTATCCTGCCTTCATTTCATAAAAAAGAAAACAAACAAGGAAAAAGAAGGGGGAAAATGTTCATTAAGAAACGAATGAGAAAACTCGTTGAGTTTAGCTTCGTTCTAGTGGCATGACCTGGAAAATAGGGTGCCGCAGTCGCAGCGGTATTCTCTGGTGCCGCAAGTTTTCGTGTGCGCTTTCCAATCAGAGATGACGGCATACTTCTTAGAGCAGCGTTCACACTTCCATTTCTTCTCGCCGTGTTTTCTGCAGAAGTGTTTTTTTATGCCAGTTAGGTCCCCAAGTGCTCTGGAGGGGTCGTGATGAATGCAGGTTGCTTCAGGGCAGACGTATACGCGCTTTTTAACTTCTTTCCCGTTTCTCTGCCGGAGTTTCCATGGCAAGTTATGGCCTCTTCTGTGTAGTTGCAAATTCTGGTCTCTTTGGAAACCCTTGTTGCAGATCTCACATACAAATCGGTTTGTTGCTAAGAGAGTCTTTGGTGATAAGGCTATCACTTCTGCATCTGGATCTACATACAAACTACCGGATAAATGCCCCAAAAAGAAACAAAGGAAAAGAGAAAAATATAGCACTAGTTTTTTAAGATAAAAAATTAGGAAGGTACAAGTACGATTTGAGGAGCTATATAGTGATGATTCATGAGCAGCTACCTGGCATTCCAGGAAGGTTACGCTTTTTCTTGACGGGTCCAACTTGAGCAGCTATCATTGGATTGCCAGCTGAGGAAACACTAGCTTCTTCAGAAGCCGAAGGGACTGTTGCCATTGCTGATGAATTATTCATATCCACCTACTCTCTACAATCCGTTTTTCCTTTCTTTTCCCAGGAAAAATCAGCGGGATTCACTTTGTAGCAAACTTTCAAGACTTTGAGAATAAAAACGCTTTAAGCTGAGGTGGTGAATTGGTCCAAAAATCTTTCAGCAAAAATTCAAATCCTGGACAGGAAATTGTTGAGCTTCAGCCTGCATTAGAAGGGAGTCCACTATTAGGTATAATTTTTCAAAATGGACTATGCTAAGATGGAGTTTTGTGAAAATTTATATTCGCAGTTTACTTGCTTAATTAATTTAGATGTCCCTATCCATAAACAGACCCAGTAAATTGTTTGGTTTTAATTGCTGGGACCTACAATAATTTGCTTGAGAACTAAGAAATTTTTGGGTAGCTACATGAAAATTAAATCACTCATCAAGATTTGATTTTCTTTTGAATGTTTTCCTGATGGTGGGAAAGCAGAAAGTTTGGTTGACTGTAATTGTGCTTGCCTGCATCGAAGTCTGATAACAAATTTCTTATTGTAGTTCCTAGACAAAAATATTGTGAGTCTGTGCACAAAACTATCAGGAGAAAAACTCGCACAGTGATGGTTGGCAACTGGCTCTCTGTAGTGAGCATCCTATATGAGTTCAAACCATGACTACAACAGACACTAAAGATGTTGCTGGAACAGTTGAACAGGTGCTATTTATTTCTGCTTCCATGATGGTTTTCTGTAATACATTTTTATTCAGTGATACGACTTGATATGGAGAGCAAGCTGTATATATTTGGCGTATTTAAAAGTTCATTCATCTTATGGGCCCATTCCCCCCCTCAGCCAAACAAACAAAATGGGAATGAAGAAGACGAAGAAGAATCTGGTTGATGCCTGTGTATAGATGGCCATGTTCCATTTTGGATTTGCTTTGATTGAGTCTTGACTTGCATTGCTTACTAGGTGTGATTGGGGGTACTTAAACTTATAGGGGTTTTTATAGGGTTTATCAAGCAATAAAACTTTGCGGGAGAAAAAAGAAAACTTGCTGGATGTTAACAACTTTTCTCTGCTCTCGACAATGGGATTTGGAAAGGAAACCAGATGGCAGAACTAATCTGAATTAAGAACACATCTTTTTCTTAAAGTAGAGGCAATCTGCAAAATGAAGCATGAGTGTAATCACCTATTGTACTTTTCGCATCTCCTCTAAAAGTTTGTGTGCATCTAAGCTTAACATTTCTAGAATGAAGAATGCTGCAGTTTGAATTGCAATTGATTTTTTGAACTGTTTATATAAGCTGAAACTTTTTAGAACATAAATTTGGCCATAAACTAGGAGTGACAAACAATTCAAGCAGTTAACTTGTTTTTGATAGTTTGGAAGCAATGGCATGCTTGTCATCCTTTAATGATGTCCACTGAAGCACTTATCCTCAGGTTAAGTGTTACTTGTTGTAGGTGATGGGGATAGCTGATAAAGAAGCAGACTTAGTTCGAATAACAGTTCAAGGGAAGAGAGAGGCAGATGCATGTTATGATTTGATTTGAGTATTTTTGTGCTTTGTACCGTTGATAATATTGGTTGTAATATATTGTTGCTCGTTTTGTATTTGTAATGACAAATTGATTTGTTATTTCATATAAAATTTTTGCTATATCTCAATATTGACATTAATGATACCTCTTGCTAAAAAAAGTAGCAACTACAGTCACAAAGTTGCTTTTGGCAACTTTCTTGCAAAAAAATCATCTTGCTGCATTTGATCGTCTTTGGTAAGGGGTCGATGGTTTCTAATTAAAGAAGTTACTTGTTTATGACAAAATGGACACTCTTTTCTTATAATGCAGAAAAGTCATAAAGAATTGATGTTTTATTGAAAAATGAGTTTATTTTTATTTTATCCGATAAACAAATTTCTTTTTGCCTTCAAAATGGATACTCTGTTCTTATAATGGAGGAAAGTCATAAAGAGCTGGTGTTTTATTGAAAAAATGGGTTTATTTTTATTTTATCTGATAAATAAATTTGTTTATGAAAAAATGGGTACTCTGTTCTTATAATATAGGAAAGCCATAAAGAGCTGATTTTTTATTAGAAAATGGATTTATTTTTATTTTATTCGATAAATAAATTTAGTTATGAAAAAATGGGTACTCTGTTCTTATAATGGAGGAAAATCATAAAGAGCTGGCCTTTTATTAGAAAATGAATTTATTTTTATTTTATTCGATAAATAAATTTATTTATGAGAAAATGGGTACTCTGTTCTTATAATGGAGGAAAACCATAAAGAGCTGGTCTTTTATTAGAAAATGAATTTATTTTTATTTTATTCGATAAATAAATTTAGTTATAAAAAAATGGGTACCCTGTTCTAATAATGGAGGAAAATCATAAAGAACTGGTCTTTTATGGGAAAGTGATACTTTACACAAAGTGACCGCGATTTGGTTTATGAAATAATCCCAAATAAAAATTTAGAATGAATTTATTTGTTTTAAAAGTTGTATAACGGTCGTTAAAACTCCAGAGATTGGCAAACAAATTTTGGGGTTGCATAAAGGCAGAGCGAAGATGGAGAAGAATTGAGTTTTTTGTCCGTTGTAATTGTTCCGTTAAAAATGGCTCTATTCGATTTTACCCATTTTTTGTTGGGTAAAATCGTTGGTTCTAACGATCAATTCTTCATTTCCCGTCAATTGTCCTTAATTGGCCAAAATTACGAAACTTTGAGGATGAAAAGTGCATTTTTTCCTATAAAATATTTAATCAAATGTTATTTCTTGTCTTAATTTTTGTTATGACTATATTACATATTTATTAAATAGACATACCTTTATAATTAAAGTTAATATTTGATATTTTAGGATGCCATATATTTAAATAGATGAAAATTATTTTGAATATAACATATTAAAATAATTTTATTTGTCAATCATTTTGCCCCCCCTCCAAGGAAAAAATCTTGATTTCGTCACTGCTTAGGAAGAAATTGGGGTCTATTGCTAATAAAAGATTGTGAAAATTTACCTTTATATCCTAATTATTTGAAAAAAATCTAATGAACAAATTTTGCGAAAAAAAAACCTTGTTTCTTACCAACAAATTAAGTAACTAATAAAATCACCTGTAATGTTGTTTTAACATATTTAATTTATGTTAAATACAAATTTTACCAGTTTCTCTTTCGTAAAAATATAAGTATAACACCTTTTCAATTTTAGTTACAAACATTTATTTATTTTACATAAATGTAGTGATTCAGAATAAAATACCCGTAAATAGCTAGTATTTTGTTAATGTAATGCAAAAAATCCTTAAAGAGCTGGTATGTTATGGGCGCAATCTTTTTTACTTTCACATATTTAAATTTTGTTAAATACAAAATCTACCAGTTTCCCTTTCGTAAAAATATAAGTATAATACTTTTTCAATTTTAGTTACAAACATTTATGTATTTTACATAAATATAATGATTCAGAGTAAAATACCCATAAATAGTTAGTATTTTGTTGATGTAATGCAAAAAACTCATAAAGAGCTGGTATGTTATGGGCAAAAACTTTTTTACTTTCACATATTTAAAAATTGTTAAATACAAAATTTATTAGTTTCCTTTTTGTAAAAATATTAGTGTAACACTTTTTCAATTTTAGTTACAAACATTTATGTATTTTACATAAATGTAATGATTCAGAGTTAAATGTCCATAAATAGCTAGTATTTTGTTGATATAATGCAAAAAAATTATAAAGAGCAAGTATGTTATGGGCAATTTATTTTTTACTTTCAAAATCAGTTTATGCTAAATACAGGACAATCAGTTTACCTTTCACAAAAATATTAGTGTAACGGTTTTTCAATTTTAGTTATAAACATTTATTTATTTTACATAATTGTAATTATTCAGAGTAAAATGCCCATAAATAGATAGTATTTTGTTGATGTAATACCCATAATCGGGAGAATCAATTGGAATTCACTATTCCTCAGTCTTGGACGCTTTATGTAAAGTAGAGATATTTGTATTCAATTAAATATGAAACATGCAACAATCTGTCTTCTCATGAACCCAGTTTCCACAAATGTTAATATTTTATTAATATAACAATTAAAATCAATTTCAATAATTTAAATTTAGTAGGTTAGATAAAAGTTGTTAGAAAAGTGAGAAACCAAAAGAAAAATAACTCAAATTTATTAAAAGTCCAAAAAGAATTTAGTACTTCAGCTCTAGAAATCCTCCAAATGACTATATATTAGAATAGCGATAATCAAAATAGATTACATAATTAAAAAACTTAATATTTCAAACATTTATTTTCTTAAGTTTCACTTTTTAAAGGCTCTCAACTCGTTATTCAATAATGTCCATATGTTGCTTCAAAACCAAGCATGACTGTGTTTAGTACTGCTTACGCTTCCTCTTCGGTGTTTTATTTCTAGACCCATTATATATATGTTAATTCCTTGACACCCCAATACATTTTCAACTTTTGCCATACACAACATTTCCAAACCGGCCCGTGCCTGTTATAGGTCACCATTTACTTTTGTAAACATATTCCTTTCATCATTCGTACATGTCAATTTCTTTGACATATTCTTTACCTTTCCACGTGCCTGCTTCTTTGCCATATAATTTACTTTCCACACCTGTCTTTGAAATATGTGAATACACTACAGAATTTACCGACTAAACAAATAAAGCCACTTTTAGCCCCATAGGCTGAGGGGCCGGTCGGAGCCCATTGTCTGCAAGTCACTATTGCCTTGGGATCAGTTGCAAAACGTGTATCACGATGATCTTCAGGAATTAAAATTATCTTTGGAATTTCGTTTATTGCAGTTTCTGATAGTCGGTTGATTGGATACCTTTTCAATAAAACAAGATGAAAAGACGACCTCAATCTCGTTCTTTTTCAATACAATTTAACCAACCTTATGGTCCTATGTAGGAAAAATTGCAGAAATATTACTTCATATTTCTATTTTGTACTTTACTAACTCTCTCGTTTTAAGAACATACCAGTGCGGTCCAAAATTACAGTTTTATTATTATTATTATTGCGATAACCGCAAGTGCACATTCTGCGGCCAAAAATTTTATGGATAAAATTTTGTGCTATTCCCTAATCTTTTAACAAATTATCTCAAATGCCAA